ATGAGTTTGCAGATCATCCTTACTATTAGGTGACATTACACAAATTTGTTTATGGACATATCCAGTGACCGATAATAAATGCTTAACTTATTGGTAAGCACATACATTTGTACTGGGTAACGTTAACATTTATTCATTGTTCTCTAATTATGAGGGGCGAAAGAGTGTGTACTCTGAAAACAACGCCCATAACCATTACAATTTGCATTCGCAAAACATATGCATATTAATATGGTAATGGTCAATACTAAGTAATTAAGTCGTTGAAAAAGTATTATATAATTGCTACACCAAGTCTGTAGTATTATTCGTAGTGAGCGTAGCGTCTATCTATGTCATCATTAGAGTAAGGCGGACCCTTTACTCTTACCCGTTAAATCGTTCACTTTCATTATTCCTAAATGTAACCTCAAAGCGAGTCTATCGGATGGAACGAAGAAGCAGTTTGTCAGTAGTTGGACGCGACACAAGAAACAAGATATGATTAAGGATTTATATAGTTAATAATAATAATAGTCTTTGACAAATATAATACAATGACTCACCTAAGTTCAAATTCGTATCCACTAATTCTGCCAGCTTCTTCCCAAAGTCCATGAGCCTTTTCTAAATTACCTTTGAGATAAGCAATCAAACCTGCTTCCCAATATGCAAATGGAAGAACAAACTTGTCCTCTTTTATTCGGTCATCCCGATCAAAGATCCACGTAAGGCATTCGCTACAATATCATATATATAATACCATTTAGATTATCATTTCGACTTTAAAAGCAATTTCCATATCCTACTTACTGCGCTTCTGAAAACCGTTTCAACTGATTTAATATGGATGCTTTGATAAGCCTCAGCATTGCTCCAACATCATACTTGCCGGTTGATATGTCTTCATCAGCTTCTTCTAGAGCATTCAGTCTAGCGTCCGTCATTTCCATACATTTGAGCAGTAGCTCTTGTGTCATACATCCAAAGCTATTCCAAATAAGCATGATTTCAAGACCAGGAAGCACAATATTTTTGAAATCGTCTTCTGCATACTGTTTTACTTTCCGCGTCACATATTGCTCTATTAATATTGTCCGTCCTCCAAACTTACGAACAACAAGACCGGCAACTTGCGAATAGATTTTAATGGCTTCCTCCATCTTCCCCACCATCACTAAGCAACTGGCTTGAAAATAAGTAAAGAATGCTGGACTCCAATAACCTTCTTTTGCAAGATTAGCGAAACAACTAGCTGCAGCCTCCCATTCCAGCATCATAGCATAATTCATTCCTAATTCGTAATCACACAAGCGCCTCAATTCAGCTCCAAATCCCGTAGCCAGACTCTGATTAACAGACTTGAAGGCAACTGTTGATTTTTGCAATTCACGTTTCAAGCGCAGGTTACGACCCGCAAAGAATGTAAAAAAGTCCGATCCGGGAAATTGTTGAAGCGCATCTTGGATGTAAGAGTCAGCTTTTGGGATCTAGTAAAAAATAAGCATATGTTATAACATGATAATCGATGAAAATTGCGACATTTTGATTTGCTTACGTAGTCCGTGCCGAGTATTACTGGCACAAAAGATGTCAATATTGTATACGAGGCTGCAAATCTAGTAAAATGGGCATGCTTATAGTTAGTAATTGCTGGGGGGCATTTTCCGATAACACAGACACCTTGAAAGAACATTTCTTACAAAATAGATGCCAAGGGCGATCTTATGCCTCGTCCACGCAGGCAATCATTGACCAGCTGAACACCCAACTCTTTATTTCCTCTATACCCGATTGCAGCTGCGATCAATTTGATAATTTTTCCGGGAAGAAACGAAAGCACAAGGTTACATGTTCCGAAACTACGCACCAAATTAAAATATAGAATCAGAATATTGCCAAAATGGTATCTATACTTACGACAGAGCTTGCCGATGAGCGAAAAGTTTAGCAAACTAACCCGAATTCGACGCCACCTTTGGTATGTCGATCAACAGGACCCGGAAAATCGCTTTTGTTCATTTCATCCCACACCTGTTCGTAACTCTTGTATCCTGGGGAAAAGGAAAGGGGGATTTTAATTTCGACCTTTTTTGTTTAAATATTCTCACAGCAAAGTTGCAATTACCTCGTCTCAAATTCAATGCTGCCTTGCCATAGCTGACCAGACTCTCCTGAAACAACTGAATCAAAGCAATTAGCAGAACTGATTCTGCCTTGATAACCATGCTTCGTAATTGTCCATTGGCCATGAAATGTTTTCGACCAGAGAAGAATTTAGTAAAACTCGAAGTAAAACTGGGTTTCGATGCATGAAGTTGTGTGCTAGCCAAAGTTTCGGCGAAAGAAAGGTGTTTTATAGCAAGTGTTATATCGTCCTCGTTAAATGTTGTGACGGCTGCAGGAGGTTTGAAATAGTAATGATGAAAAAATCGAGTGCGAACATGAATATATGGACAACAAGCATCTTGAATCTGTACCTTTTAGAAACGATATACATCCTCGGCCAAGGGCATACAGTGGCTCAAAGTCTGCTTTCTCGGCAAAAATATCTTGAGCCTCTGAGTATTGATTGCAAAAAAAGGCCTTTACCTAAAAAACACGAGACAGGTTTGATAATTAGAATAATGAGAGGCTAGAGGTGGAGATTGCAAGACCGAGTAGAAAGGTGATTGGTTCACTTACACCCTGAAACATTCGCTCATCTAATGAACAACGTGGCAAGTGTTAATAACTCAAAGAAGTGGGGTAAACGGAAAGTTACTGTACTGTATTGTACTGGATAAGCGACATTACCTTCAGCTTCCTGTTCTTTCGCAGTTAAGTTGTTAGGACCGATCTCTGATATATCTATTTGCAAACTCTGAGCAAGTTCGGTGGATGCCCTTGAGCCTTCTTGAGAATAGACAAGCTGTTCATTTTCTCGATTTTCAGCACTTGGACCCATTGAAAGATATAATGAGACTACAAATTTCACTCCTTGACACAATTTAATGGGAGCACAGAGTGCTTAAATATGGAACTCATAAGGATTCAAACACGCGCGACACCAGATTAGATTCCCATGCAAGATGAATAGATAAGCATACTTGAAAATACGCCAGATCGAGGACATAATAAGTTGGGCCTATCATTAACATTAATGGTTTTATTCATTGTATGTGTTTATTATTATTTATGTTATTCAAAAATCGGTAACATATCAATAGCAGGCATTACAGTCGTCCCCCTCTACAATCTCCCCCTCTATATAGTCACAACCTCTTTATAAGCACACTTCCAACAAAAGTTGCATTGTGAACTATAGAGGGGACGACCGTACTACTATTTCCTGCATGATCTCTGGAGAGAATAAAGGCGGCACTTGTACATCTCAGACCCTCCTATTTTTTGAACGCTCCCACACCAGCTGCAAGTTTTGGAAGCCTCATTTTGGATAATAACACGGACCTCTAATTCGTCTGCTTTAGCCACCAGGCGTTGGCGAAATTGATAGTGGCCCCAGCAGAGCATTTTGCGAATGGGTTTTCTAAAATTATAAAATTTCTGGACCCGAGTCGGGACTTAGAGATATAATTATACTGTATTGTAAGTCCCCGTCCGACGCATAACCAATCAGATTCGCTTAATTGCTAAATCTGATTGGTGAATTTTCAACCCTAAAAATTCCTAACAAATGTAGCTCTATAATCGCAAAGTAACACATATAATAATATACAAATAATACGTCAAATAAGTAGCACGTGATTTTCAATTAAACTTTTATAAACCTATAGCCTGTATATACTGAAATTGTATAGGGAGAATTCTCTACAGTCACACCCTCTTACAGTCACTGGTTTCAGGAAACTGATAGTGTTACTGTAGAGGGGCATCTATTACAATAATAACAGTCTGATTATTGTCCGGCTAGACAATCGTTTTTCTTATGCTATACTACATAGATTATATTGCACATGGGCGCTTTTGTTTAATTGCGTGGCTTATCGGACTTATTAATCAGTGAAGAATATTTTCCTGCGTGTGCTCCCAAATGTTACACTGATACTATTGTTCTTATTTACGGAAACAATCGTGACATCGCAATGATGTGTTACACTAGGTATCCGTTTATACTTATTATTGGTCGACAGTCGCAGACTCTTATTGCGTAGATAACCAGTTTAATTAAATTATACGCGTGACTTATCGGACTTGACTTAGAAAATATTTTTCCGCGGGTACTTACGGAAATAATTATATCGATACCCATGTATGCTTTACTATTGGTTGACAGTCGCAGACTCTCACACTCCTTACTGCATATCTTCCCATCTAACATTCGAACACGCGTCTACTCATACATACATATATATATACCCCCAGACGCTTGCACATGTATCTTCTCCTCCAAAACGCAAATACAACGTTATCGAAAAGTTAATAAACAACGAACAATGCCTTTGCTGCTACGCACATACGACACTTTGATACAATTCACGAACAAGCCTTCAAAACGACACGATTTATCAACCACGTTAACCGATACTCATACATATCCAAACACTACTCTTTCCGCGATTAGGAAAAAGACGCTCGCGATGACACACTATGGAGAAAACAAGGCATGTGGATGGGTTGGCATGTTTCGGGTGTTGTATTCATTGAAGTATAGTTCTTTGTGTTGATGCGCCCTTTAAACGTGGTTCGTTCAAACTTACTCCCATCATCGACGTCTGGCATGTTCGTTTAACATCGTACAGACTTACTCATTCATGGATAGTTTGACATGTTCCCGTTGGGGCTTGGGTGTCTTATGCATTGAAGTATAGTTCGTTGGATAGCCTTTAAATAATTCGTTCACTCACTCCTGTGTTAAGAAATTCGTTTCTTACCTTTTCTTTTTTTTCTTTTTTTAATCTTATCTAGAACAATCGAATTAACAACATTATGAAAGTTGAATATATAACGCAACAAATCTTTACCGCCACTCCATATTGCACGACGACTCGGTTTATCGACGAGTTTCGTAGCAAGAGGAAGGCAGTTTGAAGACGAGGTGAGAATTCTTACTGGGTATCTGTTGAGTGTTTGTATCCTAAGTACACTGCCACTAGGTTAAAAATCGGATTACACGGAAGCGCATCGGGCCACAGTATGCGGTTCACCCGCCCGTCAGGCACCCCAAATCTGACATCGGTCGGTGGACGCAGCTGCTGTGAACGTTCGGTAATCCGTTCCGAAACGCCAACTGCAGCAATATCACGCGCGGCCTGTGGTAAATAGGATACATGGACCATTGAATTGAAAGCGCATCGCGGCCACAGTATGCGAAGTTCACCCGTCAGGCACCCAAACCCTGACATCAGTCGGTGGACGCGCCTGCTGTGAACGTTCTTCTTGGTTCTTGACTACGATGACATGGTTACTCATACATCTCTTTGTTATTTTTGTTATTATTAGTGCCGAACGGGCCGACATGGCGATATCAACACTACTCTTTATTGCACATTTATCGTTTCACAACAACCTCACCTCCTCTAAAGCGCAAATACAACGTTATCCGAAAGCTAAATATAAAAACGCAACAACATTTGCCGCCACTCCATATCACGCACATACGACAAACAGTTCGAACAAGTCTTTGAAACGACACGGTTTATCAACCACGTTAACCGATACTCATACATATCCAAACGCTACTCTTTCCGTGATCAGGAAAAAGACGCTCGCGATGACACACTATGTAGAAAACAAGGCATGTGGATGGTTTGGCATGTTTTGTTTGGGGCGGGTGTCGTATTCATTGAAGTATAGTTCTTTGTGTTGATATGCCCTTTAAACGTGGTTCGTTCAAACTCACTCCTATTCATCTGGCATGTTCGTTTAACATTGTACAGACTTACTCATTCATGGATAGTTTGACATGTTTCCGTTTGGGGCTTGGGTGTCTTATTCATTGAAGTATAGTTCTTTGGATAACCTTTAAATGGTTCGTTCACTCACTCCCGTGTTAAGAAATTCGTTTCTTATCTTATCTTTTATTTTATTTTTAATCTTATCTAGAACAATCGAATGAACAACATTATGAAAGTTGAATATATAACGCAACAAATCTTTGTCGCTCACTCCATATTGCGCATACGACGGTTTACAACGACTCGGTTTATCGACGAGTTCCGTAGCAAGAGGAAAACAATTTGAAGACGATGTAAGAATTCTTACTGGATATCTGTTGAGTGTTTGTATCCTAAGTACGCTGCCACTAGGTTAAAAATTGGATTACGCGGGCCACAGTATGCGAAGTTTACCCATAAGGCACCCCAACCCTGACAAGACGTTACTCAAAACGTGCCAGCACTGGGAACATTGTGCCTGTCCGTCTTCGTCGGACTTGACACAATAAATCAACAGTATTATATTTAATACGTGAGTGGATAGAAACGCATACTGTTCGTGTTGATCCTTCTCCGAGAGTGTACACGGAAAGTTGATTTGAGTGGGTAAATAACGTTTGTATCATAAGGGATCTATTTCGCTTTAGTAGGATATACGCAAACGTTGAGAGTGTCGCCATGGAGGGATTGTAACGACAGTCGAATCAATGTTAGGGTTGAATTGATTGACAGATCGTATACAAGTATACTCAATAGCCGAGGAATTGGCAACAGATATTGAAAGTGACGTTCGATATCAGTTGGGAAAATGCATCTGTGTTTGGGTTATTTGTGGCATGTTCAACGATTGTGTTATAATTCGGGATTGTTTGTTAATGTGTCGTTCTGGTAAGTGATATGGTTGAAATCGATGTGTCTTGAATTTGTATTGTGCCATACTCGCAAAGTTAAAACTGCTCGATCGAGTTTTTTGAGGGAAAGTTATTTATAGAATTAACTAAAAATAAAATTTTTACTGTCTGTGGATATTCCAAACACATTCTGCATTATGTACGGCTATTTTTCGTAGTGCATGTTATTAACGCGTAAATACTGTATACGGCAAAATAGAATTTTTTGTTATAAAGACCGCAATTGGCGTACAAACAACACTCGGCAATAATATCAACGTACCATTGGTTCTGATGCAGATTGAAATTTGCTTTGTCCAAATTGTTAAAATAAGTTAAGGAATTATTTGTGGCAAGGGGGCCGAAGTGCAGGACATCTATAGCCCGAAATAAAATACCCGACTTTCAAAACCCTAAGGCTTTTATATTAGAGGGGTAGAGAAAAACTAATCCGTAAGAATAAAAGTTACGGTTTAAAATTTTTAATCAACTAAAAAGGTTTCGAATTACGGACGTCCAGTTTGTGCAACATTGTGTAACATGCCATTATCCAATAAAGCGATAAGTTTAGCATTTATTGTATAACACGGATTACAGAAATATGTTGCTAGAAATACTGTAGTATAATAAGCACAAACATATCGTATTTATTGGAGCTAACCGTTGAATAAACTCACATAGGCCATAAATAAGCTGTAAATTACAAGTTTATTCAAAAAGAGCTTGAGTCACAGTCACTAAATTATACAAGTGTTAATATTGTAATTTGACTTTGTTATATCAACACATAGTCAATTCTTGTCTTCATACCTGCAGCTGAATCCAAATCATAACTATTCTCGGTTTAGGTAAATATTCTGTAGGTAAGAGTTTACTAGAGTATTTACTCTCCTTCTCGAGACGTGATAGGGGTTTTACATCATTGTGATAGACGGCATTCCACGTGTTGCTATCAGAATTGTCCCTTTCCACCTCTGTAATAAGCTCCTCAATATCATCCAATAGTCCCCGTGCATCTGGACGCTTATCAGGATCAGCATCACAACACCGCTCGGCAAGTTTCTTGTATCCCTCCGGCACGAAATCAGGCATCGTTGGCCGCAGTCCACCCATAATATCACATAATAAAATTCTATCGAACTGCCTATCTCTAAAAGGTGGTTCACCAGTGGCAATTAAACACATAATAATACCAAAAGAATACACATCTAATTTCTGAGTAAATTTGCAGGTATGAAAGACTTCCGGTGCAATAAAGGGTAAAACGCCTCGAATGGTTGAATTTGTTCACATGAATTCACCGATTGAGAAAGACCAAGATCGCATATCAATGATTGTGTCTCACGCGTATCGTCATGCAAAACAATGTTTCGCCATGGAGATCACAATGCACAATTCCTGCAATATGGATAGTCAACAGATAATATGCAATATTCTTCAAACATCGTAATTTCATCCTCCACGTCAATTTGTTAATATTTTGGTCCAAATAAGACAAAAGACTATCATTGTTAGCATATTGCGTAAGTGAAATCATTCTAGAAAGTATATTTCTAAGGCACAAATAAAACCGCAGATAAAATAGAATTAGAAATAGACCATAAACATGACATAAGCTTTGTTTTGCCGTATTGGTGAAATATGCAACTTTTTCTGCATCTAAACACCGTCTTCTTCTTTTGTGTAATGTACGGGAGTGCGAATTACTATTTGACCTTGGGATTTAGCTTTTTCGATCCTTAGCTAAATACAATTCGACTATTAGTAACTTTTCATCAGGCTTTAACTACTCACACGACCCCGAACATTTTTTACATCATGGATACAGTTTATCGATCGAATTAACATACAAGTCGATGTAACACAAAATCTTTATTCTCATATTGTACCCACTACTCAGCTACTAGCGTGAGTGGTAGTGTTCACGTGCGGTTGTAACTTAATGTAAGAAATGCGTAATTGATGATTGCCTAAGCGAAGATATACGATGTAATGTAATTTGATTGATCACACGGCGAACGACCGTTAAGTCTTCTGTCTTAATGTTGTCTTGTTGCTCGAGAAATATCAAGGACTTCTTAAGTGCTTCTTCACCCTCTTTATTGGAGATTTTTTCGACGTTTGCATTGTTTTCATCATCTGTATCGGAGTCATTCTCTGCGGACTCGCAACCGAGAACTTCTCATCATCGTCAAGAGCTGCGTTTGCATTTTAAACTTGTCTATTGTGACTTTCTTATAATACTCATGTCCGATCGAATAATCGTAATTTTTTTCTTACCAAGATGCTAGATGTCATCTTGGATTAATCGTTAATACCCGGTTACAAATTTACTTCCTTCCCTATATAACCACCCGATACATGGATCGCCTAGCCACACCAGCCACGATCATTGCAGATCAGCTTCCCTTATAGGCTAAACAGATGTCGCACTGACAGAACATGAGTAACTATTACTATTACTATGTATATTAATTAATATTAATTTCATTCCATTCTTATCACATATTTTAATATGGTTATTTTGATACCAACCACTTGTTTCGGTCGGTTGTTTGTATTCGTACCAGTATTTACAAATTTACTTGTGATGAATTTATTATGAATTTAGTATTGTACAATTTGAATAAGCATTCATGCAATTCACCAACATTTCACCGGATTCTGAACCCTTCACGTCAAGAGAAACAGAATCAACTGCATTTTGTCAACTCCAACCTAACCCGCTTCGACTTTATATGGTCTTTTTGACCAATGCTTTCTCTCCAATGCCATCATCCAAAATGTCCATATTTTATATAAACACTCAATTCCTTCCATGGCAAACAGTCCCATTATTGTTGCTGATTCATCTAGATTATTACGAGTTCTTCTTTATCCCTCTTGGATAAATGAAGAAAACTGCCACTTTGGATATATCTGCGTGATAATAATTGACATCCAAGTTATAATATATTAATTATTACATATTAATTATATTCTCAAGGAAACCCATACCTTTGACAACCGTTTGTCTTTCGTAGAGCTTTCGCTATGCAAATTATCACGAACGACTGTTGATTGTCGAACAATACGTTCTATTGCTGATTGGCTGGGCAGGCTATAGAACGCTATGATGATTAAATGACAATTAGCCAAGAATAAGATGGAGTGAACGCAACCATTCAGCAGCATTTCTTCTTTCATACAAACATCACAGATTAAACGCGCGCCAAAGACATAACTACACTTTCAATAACACACATCATACAATACAGATTACTAATCTATCGTTTTGGTACCCGCTGTACTCAAGCAAGAGCATATTCGGACTTGATTCATTTCCCAATAACTCACATAATATTGCACTATTGACATCATCTGCCAGTTTATCCCGACACGTCTGTGATAAATGGCTTCCGACTGGTGAAGTTTCGGGCTCGGGGTACGCAATTAATGGTATTACTCCTCTTAGTGCACTCGCATATGTGTCCTCATCACCAATTTCAGTGTAGGGTCTTAGGACTTCCTGCGCAAACGATAAAGCCTCTGTAGTTTCGCCTTTTCGCACAATCTCAACAAACTGCTGACAGTGAAGTTTAAAGCACATTTCAATCGATTGCGGCGTCGTCGATTCATGGCCCACGGCAGAAGAGACTACTCGTGGAAACTTCTTTTGACATAGCGACAGAGCTGAAGGTATGTCTCCCGATATTATTAATTCACGAATCTCTATGGGATTCGTTAAACGAAAGAAGGTATGTTTTGAGAGAGATCGCTTAGTATTGAACATATTAATGCGAGGCGTTTTTCGTCAGGGGGATATTACCATAACTTCTCTAATAGATACTATTAACAATGGATCATAACTCAAATTTAAGAGCTGTGTCGAATTTGCATAATTCATATATACCCACGTTTTCGTGCCTCCAGACTTCTCAAAGCAACCTCAACCTCTCCCAGCCTTCCCTCTCTACACCCATTCGTTCCTAGACACTTCTTTTCCTTGTCTTTCTGCTTTTCTCTACCTACTCTCTCAACCTCGGTCATTTCTTCGTCACCCTCTGCATCAACCCTAGTCCACTCCTCAACACCGTCTACCCACACGGTTCCGTTTCCTGTTTCACTTCCTACACCAGTCCATTCGCCGTCGTTTTCCCAGAACAGCCTCTCTTCGTATCCGTCTCCCTCGATTTCCTGCCTATCTTTGAAAAATGCTTTCGCAGTTTCGCCGTAGCAGTTGTGTATTAGATAATCGAAAACTAGCGAGCGAACGAGAGCGTCGTCAGGGCCCTCCGTGTGTTGGTAGGAGTCTACGCAAGGATCCATGTCGGGTCGCATGCGAGAGGGAGCGGGATAATCGGACAATGTATGGTAACCGAATAAAATAGAAGACGGGAAGAGATAAAGGAGGGAAATGAGATAGCGTTATAAGCAGTAAAGGGAGGGTAGAATAAGGGTTTTTGAGAAGGTAGTGCGACTTATACATTATGTAACCTAGCTGATATTATGTCATTAAGCCGATCAATTTGAGGAATTATGGTAATGATCATTGTTGGAGCGAGCAATGTAATAAATAATTGAAGGGGAATTGATAAGGAGTTTGAACTTTGTATGCAGAGTTCCTATGTCATTGTTCTTCGTCAATATCCTATTAATAGAAAGTGACAAAAATAACCCTCATTACGAGCGAGTCTGATTTTATCAGCTGCGCACGCCGTATGTTATTTTTCATCACATTGACAAAGTCTTTCTATTTTTGGATATTTATCATAAGACGCTTTAGTATTGATGAATTCATATTTGTTATTTGGAGAGAATGAGCACATACTCCGACTAAGTATAGATGAGGCCAATCAATCAAAGTAACCATGTGGCTGGGGTGGCTGGGGTGGCTAGAATATGGAATAGTCAATCTTATTGATCGAATATTTAGAAACTTTATTTTGACTCAATAATTTACAGCATTACCTACAAGATTGAATGCTAATGATTTTATCCAATCAATTAGTATTCGGATCCTGTCAAGCTAGAATTGCAAGTAAACATTCACCAACACATAATAATAGTGAAAGTTCTCTTATTGGTACGCGTTTTCTAACTACCAGCATCTGTTTTTTTTTAAATTGCTGCTCCTGATGACTCCAACACAATGAAAGAAAAAGTTGGAGTGGCAGGCATTTTTAATTATTTCACACTCGGATTCTAATAGTTGCTTCTTGGTAAATAACAGTGGCAGGTCAAGACTGCTGACGAAGAGACGGATAATAATTATATTTTAGCGATTGCTAGTGACATTTTTGAAACATGTAAATGATGCGAATAAAGAGTAAGCAAGAAACGATTGCGAAAGAAAACAATGAGAATAACGAACGCAAAAAGATACTTATCGCGGCTTGTTCCAGTACCAGTGTGATTGGTTGCCGTAATTAAGTAGAATTCGCTGGCTGATATGTGTTTGATTATTTGTTATGATATTAATGTGATTTTTCTCTTTTTTCTAACTATGACATGCTTGCTGTAGTAGTAATCTTTCACTCTTCGTGACAAAAATCGGATAAACATTTCGATGTGGAATTTGGTAGAATCGATAATGAGTCGTACTGTCGGATGAATCACATGCTGGGAATTGTAGTGTTCTCATATGAAAGCAAAAGCTTTGTCATGTGAAAAGGAAAAGGTCTCGATTATCTTATGCGCAGCAATTACATCATTGCTTCACATAACTCGCATTAGAGATGGCATTGGAATTAGCAAGTGATAAAGGAGGTTATTTCTAATTTATTGGGTCTGCTGTTCACGTCTTTACATTTATCGATATTATAATTATTGTTAATATTGCTGCTGACCTCACACATGAATATAGATAAAGTCACGTCACACTACCCTACGGTCTGGTTTTACCTGACTGTATGTTTAGAAACGTAAAATTGAAAAGTGTTTTAGTGACTAATTCTGGCCATCACTAATATAACAATCTATGTAATGGTTTTCTACATTCTTGGACTCTCCAATTTCCCCGATAAATGGAACAATATAAAATAAAAAAAAAAAAAAAAGGAAAAGAAAAACAGTTTTAATAAACTAATTCGGCTCGGCAAACAATCTTTTTTTTTTACGTCAATATTTTAACTTCATGCGCTTTGACAGCGTAATCTGTTTCGAACTATTCGAATTCTCAACTTTTAGTTTTTCAAAAACGGATATTTCTATAATAAAGATTTAAAATTTAAGCCTATTAGATATTATCTTCGTGGCACGTGTTGGGATGGGAGGCAATCATTTCAAATCATTTCATCGACAATCACTTCCCGAAATTATCCTTTTTCTTTGTACTGTCGGTGAAATGATTGTCGATGAATAATATGTACCCGTTAAGATACACGTGGAAGAGTGTCTTCCAACGGAGTCTTTGACTACTCCTACTACCGATAAATCTTTAAACAACAGTTAGTAACCTTTAACTGGGTTTCGAAATACTCACGATGCTAGATCGGTCTTGTATACGCTATCCCTCCATGGAACTAATTTCGAAAGCCTACAGGTCGCGTTTATGGCAATTAAATAATAATCCTGATGTCAAAGTTTCTATAAATTTGATGGCAAGATTGAATTGTTAATCTCGGATTCGGGAAGCGTTTTACACTTTAATCCAAGATTCGACAAAGGAACACACCAGGTAAATAACGAATAATTAGCAGTTATAACACTTCGTTTATTAAAATATAAAGAACTACGTGGTATTCTAATTATAAGGACAATTATAAAAACTTGCTAGAGATATGCTGAAGATATGCTGAAGATAATATTCACTAAGAGAAATTATGACTGTATAACTACCGTTTCATTATATATGGGGAAATCATCGCTGGGTAATGAAAGTGGTGAACCATTATTTCTCACAACTAGATTTTATTCTGAGTAGAAACCTAAATCCGTCCCAATGCTGTTACTGTTCGTGTGTAACTGGCGAATATGCGCAGCTCGTGCACTTTAATGTTCATCGTGCAATTAGGCATGACACATGGGCCATGTTTTTTCTTGTATTAGTTTTTTTGATTTCTTACATCAACTAGGAAGGAAGTAAACGAGTTAAATGTTGAGTTATTATCTTCTAACTTGCGTAGATCTCTCCCCCGCTCATCTACCTTCCGTTCTATTTTTTTTTTCGATTCTACTCAGCCTTTTCTCAAGTTTGTTTCAGCGAACATGTCTGACGAGGTTGATACCGCCACATCGATTATTAATTGTCTGATATAGGTGGCGATATCTGAAATGGAATATTGCTTGTATTAGTGTTCTACAATACTAGAAAGAACAGTATATTACTAATTATAGATGTTTTAAAAATAGACCATTCTTCTTTACTATTAATTCGTATGATAAGATTTATCCAAAGTCTCTCCTTTTTTTCATCATATTTTCTCAGAGCGAAATTAAGCGGGTTTATTAGATTCAGAATCTGACCATTTAACGACTTTGTCACTAAGACTTGATATTTAACTGAATAATAAATTTATATGTTTTATATAATAGGAAAAATGATTATAGTGTTAATAGTTATTTTTTTGAACTTCATTGTTTAATAGTTATTTTCGTTGTAAATTACGCATTACTGACGGTTACACACTACACGTATGTAGTTAGACCGTCAGCGAAGCGGCGGGTTAACAACTCGTTTACTATATATAAACTTATTATAACGGGTTCTGACTGTATTAACAACGGCAAGATCAAACGTAATAAAGGGGGAATGCTTATTGCCGATATTCTTTCTTAATGACTCGAATAAACTGTAGTTCTTATTAAACAATACATTCAGATCGTAATAATCTATTGACAGTTACCTGTATATCTTACTATTACTGTTAATAAGAAGCTTCCCTTTGTTTGTGAATGGGTCGTACTTATCCCACACTATTTTGACTAACAACCATTAGAATTTGGTAACTTAGTGATAAGAATCCTAATGTTAGCGATACGTGAAAAACAGTAGATTAGTTTTGTTTTATACGGGAGAATTCCCATTCTAATCGAAGAAGCAAACTTTGCGAAATTTCGAACTAGCCGGCGAATTTAGTGTGCGAATGGTATAGAATACGCGCAAGCTAATCTCAAAGGCTGTTGTATATTTGCTATCAGCACAACATAAGTTATTACACAACTAGATTATCTGGGGAAGAGAACCTGGGGACAAAATCCAACAAACTGGTTTGAAATATGCCCATTATCTACGAGAAGCTGGAATATAATTCATTGTTTACATAGTCTGTCTAATGAATAGTCGTAGAACAAGCAGCAGGAAAAAAGTCCGTCGCGAGATTGAACTGATGTTAGGAGTTGACATAATTGAATATGTTGTCGATCTTCACATTCGTTTCCTTTTTTGATGAAGAACGAGTGCGTGCTATTACTTCTCGATAACTGTTCTAGTCATTCATTAGCTGGTCTTATTTTACAATACACTGATATTTGTTTTCTGCCTCCCAACACTACCTCACGAATTCATGAATTCACGCTGGTTATAGTAACCTTTAAAAGGTACTATCGTATCGCCGTCTTCATATACGGTAAATACATTTATTGTATATATTTTACACTTTATAAGTGATTCTTTTTTTTTTTTTTTTTTTATTGCTGTTTTCAAAATGGTGCGATCATCACAAAATAAAAAAAAAATTGAAAACGATTATGAAAACGATTATAAAAACGTGACTACAGTCTACCAATAGAATTTAAGGAGAAAAGTGTTACAC